AATTGTAATCTGATTGAGACCACGGTAATCAATACCCCCATCCTTCTTCTTCACAAAAAAGAAACTTGAGGACGCAGGGGAAGTGGACGGCCGTATGTATCCCTGTCTCAGAGATTCGGTGACGTATGTCTCCATAGCTGCCGTCTCCTCCTGAGACAGAGGATACACATGACTACGAGGAAGCGCAGCGCCTACCTGGAGGTCTATCGCACAATCCCCCTGTCGATGAGGTGGTAATTGAGTCGCCTTCTTTTTACAGAAGGCGAGTGCCAAATCGGCATACTCAGGAGGAATGTGCATTGTGGGAATTTGGTTCGGACTTTCCACCGTCGTTGCCCCTACGGAAACACCTACACACCGATCAGACCATCCCTTGAGAGCCCTCTGTTGCCATGAAATGTTGGGGTCATGAGATGTTAACCAGGGAAGCCCCAACACCACGGGAAACGCAGGAGAGTCAATCAAATACAACTGTATAATCTCCTCATGGCCCTTCTGCGTCTTCATCTTAAGTGGTGCTGTGACCTCCCTAATCAATCCCAACCCCAAAGGGCGGCTATCTAAAGGTATGGATGGGGAAGGGCACATCAACTGGTACAATAGGGATCCCTAACTTATATGTGAACCGGCGATCGATAAAATTCCCAGCTGCGCCTGAATCTACTAGCGCCTTATGCTGGGAGTGAGAAGAAACCTCGGGAAACACAACTTTAATACACATATGTACAACAGAAAGCTCTGGGTGAGTTGGGTGCTTACTCACCTGGAATGACTCATCAGTGCATTGCCTACTGCCTCGATTCCTAGGAGACCCTCCCCAGCACCGAACCGCAGTGTGTCCTCTGCTGCCACAGTTGGTGCAGGGGACGGCCTCTCTCCTGGTCTCTCTCTTAGTCTCCCTAGCACCAGCACCCCCAAGCTCCATAGGGCTCGACTCGGAAGTGCTGGGGGATGGAATGGACGGCCCCAACTCTGGACGCCCGCGGGTAGCCAACAGGGTATCTAGGCGAATCAACATGTCCACCAGCTGATCGAAACTTAGGTTGGTGTCCCTGCAGGCCAACTCTCGACGAACATCCTCCCTTAGGCTGCACCTGTAGTGGTCGATGAGGGCCTTCTCATTCCATCCCGCATTGGCAGCCAGAGTCCGGAAGTCCAGTGCGAACTCCTGCGCGCTCCTCTTCCCCTGTCTGAGGTGGAACAGACGCTCACCCGCCGCCTTCCCCTCTGGGGGATGATCGAACACCGCCCTGAAGTGGCGGGTGAACTCTGCATAGTTTACTGTAGCGGCATCTATTCCCCCCCACTCGGCGTTGGCCCACTCCAGTGCCTTGCAAGACAGACAGGAGATGAGGGCGGACACGCTCTCGTATCCCGAGGGCGCCGGGTGGATGGTTGCCAGGTAGAGTTCCACTTGGAGCAGGAAACCCTGACACCCGGCCGCCGTGCCATCATAAGCCCTCGGGAGCGAGAGCCGAATCCCACTGGACTCCAGAGGTGAAACGATGGGTATGGCTGATGGTGGTGGTATCGTTGGAGGAGGTGTGGGCAAACCTCCTCTTTCCCATCGCCTCAAAGTGTTCATCACCCCTTCCATGGCGGTGCCAAGATCCTGGATCATAGCCGCCTGTTGTAAAACGCGCTCCTCCAGTGATCCGTTGGCACCGCCGCTCCTGCTGACGCCATGTCGTGGTGTGTTATTCTGTCACGAATGTCAGTTTAATGCGGTGGAAGAAGTCAGGCGCAGGACACAGAACTCTAAGAAACGTGCTTTACTAAACGATGTAAAGAACACAGAAAACCTCCACACAGGGAGGAACTAACCCGCTCACCAACGACACACGTAACAATGAACAATAACACACAAATTCCAAATGAGAGACAGGGGTAAATATAGGGAATACAATCAAACATAATGGGGAACAGGTGTAAACAATAAAGACTAAACTAGACAAACACCGAAACATCGATCGGCAGCAGCTAGTACCCCGGGGACGATGAACGCTGAAGCCTGCCCGAGCAAGGAGGAGGAGCAGCCTCGGCTGAATCCGTGACAGATGTACGTCAGAAGAAGTGCAGTATTATCATAAGGAGACGTGTACTTGGAATACGGAGGAGGAATGGAGGGAAAAAGAGAGGCAGAGGAGGTCTAAGAGAGAGAGGGAGGAAGAGGGTGAGCTTGAGTCGGTTAAAAATGGCGGAAAAAAGGGAGATGGTTTGTTAAAGAAGAATGGTAGAAAGTGTAAGCAGAGTGAGCCGAAGACAGGGGGAGAAATGGAAGTGAATGAGGGCGAAGTATCTGAGGTGGTAGATGTGGTGAAGTTCTCGGAGGCCGAGAGTTGCCTTTTGGCTGATCCATTTGTGGTTTCAGGGTGGGTGAAAACAGAGTTGGGTGCGGTGAGAGTAACCAGAAGTGGTCTTGTGGTAATTGTTTGTGTTTCTGCTGGTCAGAAGGAGCAGGCGCTCCGCGTTGAACGAATGGGGGCAAGAGATGTGAATTATTTTGCTCTCAAGAAAAGGGCGCCATTGAAAGGAGTGATTACTGGGGTAGCGGTAAATGTAAACGCTGACCAACTGAAGGGGAAGATTCCCGGTGTTTGTGATGCTCGTCGTTTAGTGCGACGCAAACAGGTTGGCGTGAGTGGTGAAACAGAAGAGTTGTTGTCTGTTCTTTTGAGTTTCGATGTTGAGTCTTTGCCCGACAATATGATGTTAGGATATATAAGTTATCTTGTACGAGCTTTTATTGCCGAATACATTATGTGTGTAGGAGGGAGGTTCCTAGGTGTGAGAAGTGTGCAGAAGGGCATGAGACAAAGGAATGTGTAGCATTGGGGAAAGTAGTGGTATGTGTTAATTGTAGGGGTGCCCATGGGGCTGGGGATCAGAAATGTCCCATGCTAGAGAGGCAGGTTGAGGTTTCCAGGGTTAGAGTAGTGCAGAAGTTGTCATATGCTGAGGCAGTGAAGTAGATCTGTACCAGTACAGAGGGATAAACCAACAAGTGATATATGTTTCAGTAAGATTGGATTTTTTGCATTAATAGCAATGTTTATCAACTGTACTGCAGGGATGGAAGGTAAGTCACAGAAAATGTAGGTTGTGGTGGCAGCTGCAGAGAGGTATTTGGGTGTGTGAGACTTGACGTCAGAAGAGTTACAGGGTGTGTTAAGTGGTGGTGTCACATCCTTTCTGGCTGTTGGCCTGAAGTAGGACTAAATAGATTTAAATAGTGGAGTATAGTGTTTTTTTTTTTGTGTGAGTGTAGTGTGAGATGGTAGGGTATTTATTATATTTTTTTCAACCAAAGTATAAGGGAGTTATACTCCAGTCTAGTAGGTTGCGGTAATGCAACATTTATTGGATGCCAACCGCCGTTAAACCTCATCAAAGAAGAAGAAGAAGAATAATTTAATTTGGGGTGTTAGGGTGCATGGAGGAGTTTTCTTTTTGACAGCTTCACGGAAGATGGCGGAAGCGGATGATGAAGTGGAATCTGAATACAATGGTGGTAGAATCAAGGAGAATTGGAGTATTGTTCAAAAGAATGGAAAACGGAGCAAAGTAGGGTACAGTGATGAGAATGACCCTTCGTATCTAGTAGGAGTACGGTTTGTTAATAAGGAGCAGCTGAGCAGAGTACCAATCTTGAAGAAACCATTTGAGTTATCCAAACTGGTGGAGAGAGTGCTGGGTAAAGTGAAGGATGTGAGGATCACAAAAGGCGGGCTTGTTTTGATCTTTTGTGATTCTGCGGAACATAATTATTTTATTTTTTTTGAAGGAACGTGTATTGTGTCTTAATCGATTTGATAAGTTTGAAGTGTTGTGTGTGTCGCTTTGGAACAGGGCACCGCTTAAGGGGGTTATATCTAGCGTTTTGTGGGAAGTTGATTTGGAAGAGATTCCTGGAGTGATTGAAGCACGTCAGAGGAATGGGGTAAAAGTGAAGAGTTCTGTTCTTTGAAATGGAGTCTCTCCCTAATGAAGTGCGGTTAGGGTATATTAACTACAGAGTTAGAGCATTTATTACATTTACATTTTAGTCATTTAGCAGACGCTCTTATCCAGAGCGACTCACAGTTAGTGAGTGCATACATTTTCCATACTGGCCCCCCGTGGGAATCGAACCCACAACCCTGGCGTTGCAAGCGCCATGCTCTACCAACTGAGTTACAGGAGGCCATTTATCCCAAGAACAATGCAGTGTGAACATTGTAAAGCTTTTGGTCATGTAGAAAGTGTTTGCAGAAGGGAGAAGCCGAGATGTACAAGATGTGGAAAAGATCATATTATGTTTTATAAAAGTGAAGAAAATGTGACATGTAATTGCGGTGGGAATCATGAAGCCACATCTTCTGAATGCCCCACAAGGGTAAAGGAGAATGAGGTGGCCAAAGTCAGGGTTGTACAGAGCATTTCATATGCAGAAGTTGTGAAAAGGGTTGAGGGTTTGAATGTTGCGCCAGAAGAGTCCATGGTAGTGGATAGGCCTTCACTGCAGTCTGCAGGGGTTGTCTTACACCAAGAGGATCCTGACATTTTAAAGGTTAAATAGGTGGACTTTGTGGCCTTTATCGCAATTGTGATAAATGGTACTGCCAAGGTGGAGAAAAGATCTAGGAAGATTGAAATCATTGTGATTCAGGCGGAGCGGTTCCTGGGGCTGAAAGATTTCACAGCAAAGGAGTTACATGGAATATTAGCAAAAGCCGTACCACTATCTCAGGTCCTAGAGCCTGAGAAGGGAGATATGGAGAACTAAAAGAAGGAAGAAGTGGGAGTTTTGTTTGTTTTGGCAATGTACTATTTTTATTAGGGTGGATTGTTAGAATCACTATTAAGGATGGATTTATTTATTTTAAAAAAAAGTATTAAAAAAAGGTTTCAAACAGTCCAGTTGGTTGCGGCAATACAATTTTTGGATGTAGTCCGCCATAAAACCCACAGAAGAAGAATTTAATTCACGGAACTATACAATTAAACGACACTTTCTGCACGGACCCAATTTGCTGTGAACAGGAGGAATCATGGCGTTCAACTTTGGCGGCGCTGCCACCAACCCCGCAAGTAAGGAGATATTTCCATCTAGTAATATCGAATTTATTAGAAAACACTTTATTTTACTATCATTAGCGGAGATTGCGCTGGACCGATGGATATGATTTCATTTAATTTACGTGCGCTACAGCTAACGAAACCACAAAATTAAAAAAAGGCGGCCTGGACTGCAGGTCTAGCCAGCTAGCTAACTAGAATGTTCATACACTAGTTAGCTAGTCAGGTTGTATTAACTATTCTCACATAAATGGAGAATAATCGATTTAAGTCAGATAGCTTGCTATTTAAACTGCCAGTTGTAAGTTTTCAAATATAGCTAACTAGCAAAGCTAACTACACTAGCTACCTAGTCGTCAGCAACATTCTGTTGAATCCCTTATGTTGCGGACGAAGCTAGTGTAGGGACGTCAAACATTCAGCCTTCTGCACAGACGCTTTAGTCTAGAGCGCCTGGTTAAATTGTGTTTAGGATACTTATTTAATCTCTAAAAACGAGTGAAGAATATAGCTATGTGATTTAAAAAATCTGAGTTTGCTTCATTTACTATTACCCTAAATTAAGATATTGAATTATTTTACCATATCTATATTACGCTACTTTCCATGATGTTGAGATTATGTGTTACTACATTACACAAACTGACGTTTTGACCTCATTGAATTAGGGGGAATTACACGTCCTTTTTACCTCGGATTGGTGATGTTAGTATGAACGTCTTTAGTCAACACAATGACCCTATCAATTGCTTAAAACAGATCAATATCTTTGGTTTTGTATGTTGATTTTGTCATGTGCTGGGGTTTGCAGGACTTTCTCCAATGGCACGCATAAATTTAGCCTCGTCCCGCAACTAGACATTTAAATTACCATTTATATTAACAATTTTGACTTTTAATGTTACAGATGGCTAGTTGCAGAAAGATCCCTAGCTGTAAACTATTTGGATTCACATTTTTTATTTTATTTTACGTCAGAGGCATTTCCATCATCTCTAGGAACACTACTTACCCATCGTCGGGTTGATTGTGTCCCTCGCTGTCAAATAAGTGTTAAAAACACGTTTTATATCCAGGGTGTTCCATTCCTACGATTAGTATTCACATTTTCCACCGGAAACACTCTTCTACATCTAGTGGCTGCAAAAAGAGAGACCCCGTAGAACGGTCTCAGTTCTGCCACCGATGGTCGACAAAAAACTGTCAATGTACTGCTTGAAGGCATGCGACACAGACACACTGTCCCTAAAAAAAAAGTGTTTTTCATTCAATGATGTCATAGGCCAGTACAATTTAGAGGCTAGTGTTTTTCCATCACTTAACGAAAAACCATGGAGGACATAGACACCATATTAGACGGCCTTGCGAAACATCCACTTAAAGAAGGGCAGAGGAGAGCATTAAAGACCCTCGCATTAGGGAGAAATGTCTTTGCTGTTCTCCGTACAGGATTTGGCAAACGTGCCTGCTTTGGACTGTTTGGAGATTTGATGGACAAGGTAAACTGAATCACTTTTGAGAATTCCTTAATGTCAGGAATATAAAATACCAATTAATTTAGTGTTAACCTACATCTATTTAAAACATGTATTACACCGTCTACTAATAAAGTAGAGTACAGTTTAAATACTATTTTTAATGCCAATGTAGTAGCAGATTTAGTTGGATTTAGTTTTGTTTTTATATAATAATGCATGTCTAATACATTTGTATTGATTTTAATATCTGATTAACTCATGCAATTACGTCTTCATCCAGGAAAAAAACATTTTGTGATTGTCGTAATTCCCTTGAAAGCACTGACAACGGAAACCAAAGTATGTTGTATAAAATAAATACATATTAAGATGTTAAACACAAACAATTTATATTACAGGACTCTCTCATACTATTATTTTCCTCCAGATATCCTTGATGGAGAGGTCACTCTTGTCTACATGTCCCCAGAAAGCATGTTCCTGCTGACATGGTGGTACTGGTTTAAATCTATAAAGGAGAGAATGTATTTTAGCAATGCATGAAGTCCATTGTATGATCACATGGTATGTATGCAATGATTACAATTATTTATTCTATTCACAAAACAATTTTGCTAGAGCAAACCCTCACTCAGCCCTTTCAAACTCTGTGTGATTCCTCCTGACCAGAGTGTACAGTAGGGGGTTGTAAACTCGCCACTTCAAATTTCTTGCACTTGTCAAACTGAATAATGTTAGGGGCCCTCTGAGTGTGCAAATCACACACTCCCAGTAACTTCAAGAGTGAGCGGGATTCAAACAATAGTGATTTAAACTACATAGGCTTAGAAACAGACTTAACACATTTTCTTCTCGTCTACATTTAAAGGGGATCAACATTCGGAGAAGTATACAGCTAGGTTCCACACATTCTCTGCATCCTGACTGCACCAGTGTTGCTGTTGATAGCAACAGAATAACTAGTTTCAGATGTATTACACTACACAGACTGCATATGATGAGAATCTGTGGAAATGATCACTGAACTACCCAACCGGTAATACCATACGTCTCTCTGCAGTACAATAGTATTCAAGAAAAAGCAGTTTTATGAGTATAGATTCCATGCACACAAATTTGGTATTGCATGACGTTGGTTTCATTTCCTAATTCCACAGGCCAAACATTCATATCTCAATCAATAAGTGTAATAATAATATGCCATTTAGCAGACACTTTTATCCAAAGCGACTTACAGTAAATATGTCTAAATAGTGTTAGTCACTATACTTTTATTTTAATATGTTTACAACGCTGTAGATTAATTCTTTTTTGAAAATATTTATTTCATGTGTGCATGACTATCACATCTGTAACCAGAGTTTACGGCAAGCTGATGAAAGAACTGGGAGATGGGGCTTGGATCGATAATAATTGCATACAGGAGAACAAGCTTGTCGACATGCACCACATCCATACGGACGCACGCACTCAGCAGATGATGGTGTCTACATTTGCCAGGCAAGACTGCACCATCCGCTGTTTTATTGCTACAGTGGCTTTTGGACTTGTCGTACAGGTTTAAGGAAAGTGATGCGCTGGGGGCCATCCAAAGACCTTATGAATTAGAGATGGGCAACCGGGAAAGGCCTCAATGTACATCTACCCCTACTCGGTCCAAACAAAACAGATACAGAAGAACATGATAGACCTGATCAACAACGCTTCGCAGGACATCTATTTGAGGAAGACGATACGGCAGTATTTTTTTCTGTCAGACATGGGGAGAGAAGCGTTAGTATCAGCATATGACTAACCGTATTGTTGCTGTGTGTGATGCCAGAGGTCAGTAATATTTTGCTCAGTTCGTTTTGGGGTATCGTTACTGTTATTCATTTAGGAAATTAAAGAGGCAGTTATGACTGTTTTATCCTGCTGTATTAAGGTCACGCCAGTGGTCCGTCTCACCTCCAAGGCTCCTCGTCATCTAGCAAATTTTCTGTGGATTCCTGATACTTCTTGTGATGTTGAACTTGTTATTTTCGTGTTCTAACGATAACTTCATTCTATTTTGCAGTGCACACACTTGTGGAGATGGTAGGATGATGAAAGGAGGAACGTCCACAGCCATTTAGGCCACCGTCGAAGATGACGGAAGTTCACCTTGCTGTAATGGGCAAATCTAAGTGCCAACAGGAGGAACTTGTTTCAATGCTCCTGACTGATGTGTATGTGCTTCATCTGGAAATGCATGTTGCTGATTGTTACGAAGAGAATGCATACATGTTGATATCTACAAAGTCTTGTGGCTGTAGTTTAATCCTCAGTTAACAATAAATGGATTGGTTAGTATGAAATTACATTAAAAGCTGTATTTACTGTTTAATGTCCATTCATTATGTGTAATGGATTAATAGTGACTATTGACAGTGAAACATTTAGGTCTGTCACCCGACAATTTTTTAAAATTGGTGACCGAAAGTCGTCTGTTCGATTGCTCTAAATTTTTAAACGTGTATTCTTCCAAATACAGACACACCCTACAGTGGGGGGAAAAAGTATTTAGTCAGCCACTAATTGTGCAAGTTCTCCCACTTAAAAAGATGAGAGAGGCCTGTAATTTTCATCATAGGTACACGTCAACTATGACAGACAAAATGAGGAAAATAAATCCAGAAAATCACATTGTAGGATTTTTTATGAATTTATTTGCAAATTATGGTGGAAAATAAGTATTTGGTCAATAACAAAAGTTTTTCAATACTTTGTTATATACCCTTTGTTGGCAATGACACAGGTGAAATGTTTTCTGTAAGTCTTCACAAGGTTTTCACACACTGTTGCTGGTATTTTGGCCCATTCCTCCATGCAGATCTCCTCTAGAGCAGTGATGTTTTGGGGCTGTCGCTGGGCAACACGGACTTTCAACTCCCTCCAAAGATTTTCTATGGGGTTGAGATCTGGAGACTGGCTAGGCCACTCCAGGACCTTGAAATGCTTCTTACGAAGCCACTCCTTCGTTGCCCGGGCGGTGTGTTTGGGATCATTGTCATGCTGAAAGACCCAGCCACGTTTCATCTTCAATGCCCTTGCTGATGGAAGGAGGTTTTCACTCAAAATCTCACGATGCATGGCCCCATTCATTCTTTCCTTTACACGGATCAGTCGTCCTGGTCCCTTTGCAGAAAAACAGCCCCAAAGTATGATGTTTCCACCCCCATGCTTCACAGTAGGTATGGTGTTCTTTGGATGCAACTCAGCATTCTTTGTCCTCCAAACACGACGAGTTGAGTTTTTACCAAAAAGTTATATTTTGGTTTCATCTGACCATATGACATTCTCCCAATCCTCTTCTGGATCATCCAAATGCACTCTAGCAAACTTCAGACAGGCCTGGACATGTACTGGCTTAAGCAGGGGGACACGTCTGGCACTGCAGGATTTGAGTCCCTGGCGGCGTAGTGTGTTACTGATGGTAGGCTTTGTTACTTTGGTCCCAGCTCTCTGCAGGTCATTCACTAGGTCCCCCCGTGTGGTTCTGGGATTTTTGCTCACCGTTCTTGTGATCATTTTGACCCCACGGGGTGAGATCTTGCGTGGAGCCCCAGATCGAGGGAGATTATCAGTGGTCTTGTATGTCTTCCATTTCCTAATAATTGCTCCCACAGTTGATTTTCTTCAAACCAAGCTGCTTACCTATTGCAGATTCAGTCTTCCCAGCCTGGTGCAGGTCTACAATTTTGTTTCTGGTGTCCTTTGACAGCTCTTTGGTCTTGGCCATAGTGGAGTTTGGAGTGTGACTGTTTGAGGTTGTGGACAGGTGTCTTTTATACTGATAAGTTCAAACAGGTGCCATTAATACAGATGCCAATTTACCTTACCATTTCTACCGATCTGCGTGCCAGATATGGTTTTCATATGCACATTTTTGTAAAAGTTTCATTTAATTTATATCTTCATATCTCAATCATTTGTATTTATGAAGGATCCCCACACTTCCTGGGGTCCAGCAAAATTAAGGCAGTTATAATTTCTTTTAAACATTACAATACATTCACAGATTTCACAACACACTGTGCCCTCAGTCCCCTACTCCACCACTACCACATATCTACAATACAAAATCCATGTCTATGCGTGTGTATAGTGCGTATGTTATCGTGTGTATGCATGTGTCTCTGCCTATGTTTGTGTTGCTTCACAGTCCTCGCTGTTAAAAATGTATACATACATTTTTTTAGATCTATCTTTACTGCTTGCATCAGTTACTTAATGTGGAATAGAGTTCCATGTAGTCATGGCTCTATGTAGTACTGTGTGCCTCCCATAGTCTGTTCTGGATTTGGGCATTGTGAAGAGACCTCTTGTGGGGTATGCATGGATGTCAGTAGTTTAAACAGACAGCTCGGTCATGTCAATACCTCTCACAAATACAAGTATTGATGAAGTCAATCACTCCTCTTTGAGCTAGGATTGACATGCATATTATTGTTAGCTGTCTGTACATCCAAGGGCCAGCCATGCTGCCCTGTCCTGAGCCAATTGCAATTTTCCTAAATCCCTTTTTGTGGCACCTGACCACATGACTGAACAGTAGTCCAGGTGCGACAACTAGGGCCTGTAGGACCTGCCTTGTTGATAGTGCTGTTAAGAAGGTAGATCAGCGCTTTATTATGGACAGACTTCTCCCAATCTTTTTAACTTTTTAACAAAGTGTGGAAAAAGTAAAGGGGTCTGAATACTTTCCGAAGGCACTGTGTGTGTGTGTGTGTGTGTGTGTGTGTGTGTGTGTGTGTGTTTGTATGTATGTATGTGTACAGTACCAGTCAAGTTTGGACAACTACTCATTTGAGGGTTTTCTTTATTTTTACTATTTTCTACATTGTAGAATAATAGTAAAGACATCGAAACTATGCAATAACACATATGGAATCATGTAGTAACCAAAGAAATGCTAAACAAATCAAAATATATTTGATATCAAAGTAGCCACCCTTTTGCCTTGATGACAGCTTTGCACACTCAACTAGTTTCATGAGGTAGTCACCTGGAATGCATTTAAATTAACAGGTGTGCCTTGGAAGTTAATTTGTGGAATTTCTTTCCTTAATGCGTTTGAGCCAATCAGTTGTGTTGTGAAAAGGTAGGGGTGGTATACAGAAGATTAGCCCTATTTGGTAAAATACCAAGTCCATAATATGGCAAGAACAGCTCAAATAAGGAAAGAGAAACGACAGTCAATCATTATTTTAAGATGTAGGTCAGTAAATCCGGAAAATATCAAGAACATTGAAAGTTTCTTCAAATGCAGTCGCAAAAACCATCCAGCGCAAAATGAAACTGGCTCTCATGAGGACCACCACAGGAAAGGAAGACCCAGAGTTACCTCTGCTTTAGAGGATAAGTTCATTGGAGTTACCAGCCTGAATAAATACTTCACAGAGTTCAAGTAACAGACACATCTCAACATCAGCTGTTCAGAAGAGACTGCGTGAATCAGGCCTTCATGGTCGAATTGCTGCAAAGAAGCCTCTGCTAAAGGACACATAAGAAGAAGAGACTTGCTTAGGCCAAGAAACACGAGCATTGGTCATTAGACCGGTGGAAATCTGTCCTTTTGTTCAAATGTGAGATTTTTGGTTCCAACCGCCGTGTCTTTGTGAGATGCAGAGTAAGTGAATGGATGATCTCCGCATGTGTGGTTCCCACCGTGAAGCATGGAGCAGGAAGTGTGATTGTGTAGGGGTGCTTTTGCTGGTGACCCTGTTGGTAATTTCTTTAGAATTCAAGGCACACTTAACCATCATGGCTTCTGCAGCGATATGCCATCCCATCTGGTTTGGGCTTAGCGGGACTCATTTGTTTTTCTACAGGACAATGACCCAACACACCTTTTATTTTTATTTATTTATTTTTAAAATATTATTTTTTTTTTTATTTTTTTGGGTTGAGGTGTCATTTAGCAGACGCTCTTATCCAGAGCGACTTACATGAGCAATTAGGGTTAAGTGCCTTGCTTAAGGGCACATCGACAGATTATTCACCTAGTCGGCTCGGGGATTAGAACCAGCGACCTTTCGGTTACTGGCACAACGCTCTTACCCACTAAGCTACCTGCCGCCCCGGCTGTGTAAGGCCTATTTGACCAAGAAGGAGAGTGATGGAGTGCTGCATCAGATGTCCTGGCCTCCACAATCCCCCGACCTCAACCCAAGTGAGATGGTTTGGGATGTGTTGGACGGCAGAGTGAAGGAAAAGCAGCCAACAAGTGCTCAGCATGTGTGAACTCCTTCAAGACTGTTGGAAATGCATTCCAGGTGGAGCTGGTTGAGAGAATGCCAAGAGTGTGCAAAGCTGTCATCAAGGCAAAGGGTGGCTACTTTGAAGAGTATAAAATGTATTTTGATTTTAACACTTTTTTGGTTACTACATGATTACATGTGTGTTATTTCATAGTTTTGATGTCTTCACTGTCATTCTACAATGTAGGAAATAGTAAAAATAAAGAAAAACCCTTGAATGAGTAGGTGTGTCCAGACTTTTGATTGGTGCTGTATATACAAATGCTAATCCTTTATTCATTGTGTTGAGTGGACTTGTAGTTACACACGTACGTCCTCTCTCCATCTCTTGACCAGTTGTTAATGGTCCACAAGCATTCTGTCAACAAAGCTAGTGAAACGGCTTAATGGAAAATAGTAATTAGTAAATGTTTTCTTTCTCAATGTCAAATTGGTGAAAAATCTATATAATTACCTTTGCCTTTTAATATTATTATTATAATAAATAATCATATAAATAACAATTAAAATACATTTTAGTTTAGAACAGTACCAATGTAACACAAGCTGTTTCCATTTTTAGTAGCTCTCTTAATGCATATACATATTTGTATTGCACTAATAAATCCTGCGCTTTGACTAAAGGACCAACATGTCAGGTCCTTGTTTTCCCCCCCTCTATGTACTGTTTGTTGATTGAGAACTAAGGCAAAGATGGCACAAAAAAATCCTTTGGATCATTTAGCTTTCTTCACAAATTCTTCTTCGCAATTATAACAATGACTTGTCCCCAACATCTCTAATCTATACCGTCATTGTTGACAATGGACAAAATGGCACGAAAACAGCCTTGCATGACATCGAGTCAAACAAAATGTATTAGGGACATTGTGTTGGTGTCGCATGCCTTCAAGCAGTACATTGACAGTGTTTAAACACCAATTAGTTTTAATTTTATTTTTACTATTGGTGAAAACTGAGCCCGTTTTCTACGGGGTCTCTGCTTTTCGCAGCCACTAGATAGATGTAGAAGAAGCGAGTGTTTTCTGGTGGAAAATGTCAATACTAATCATAGCAATGGAACACCCTGGATAAAATGTGTTTAACTCTTATTTAGCGAGGGACACGTTCAACATGACGATTGGTAAATAGTGTTCCTAGAGGTTATGGAAATGCCTCTTGACAGTATTTTTGTGAATCTGAATAGTTTACAGTTGGTTAATCAATGACTCCATGCTAGAGACCTTTCCGCAAGTAGCCATCTTTAACATTAAAAGTCAAAGTCAAAATTGCAAATATAAATGATAATTTAAATGACTAGTTGCGAGATTAAGTTAGGATAATTTGGGTGGTCTTTCTATAAAAGTCGCTGGCCACACACCAATACACGGATTTGAAAGTTAACCAACCTATCACATAAATAGCAGCCAACCATTGTCACTGTTGAAATCCTATGGCGGGTCGTGATTCGTTATCTAACAGAAAGTTGTTTGTTCCCTTTTCCGTGATTGAAGCCTCCCAAAATTAACATCCGCCATTCCAAACTAAAGATGGACGCTTTCAACAAATTCGCATCTAACCAACCATGTATAGGTTATTCCAAGTTTCTGTGTGGCCTTTGAATAGTGTTAATTTAAACAGCGTTACACCCCAAACGTTTGCCCCCTGTTCTATTGATTTCAGCGTGATCTCGATGGAAGTGATTAACCCACTTGAAACAAAAAACAACGTTTTTGAAGTGTTGCAATCTGTCTTCTACAAATTATCTTTTAACCAGTGACGTACACATTATTCCCAGAATCCGTGTGGTTTTTGAGCTGTTCGTTTTAACAGGACATGCAACCTCATATCCCCCCTCTCACGCAATTGATTTCAACGTGATAATCGATAGGAGTGATGCACAAAGCAGTGTTGCATTTCTCTTTCTGTATTGGTGACCCCCCGTATAAAAATGCAACATTCCAAAATGTAGCAAACTGTTCTGCAGGTTGTCCTTTAACTCAGATGCAGTTGCCCATGGCGGCATCAACTTTATCCACTCCTCATAACATTCCACTGTCTGACTACATATTTTGTTGTTGGTCAAGGCACTTCCGGATTATCATTTGGTTCATTTGCTGCCAAAACAACAGCACCCTCAGCTTTTGGCTTTGCCATGACCACCACCAGTGCCTCATCAGGATTTGGTAGTAAGTTCATACCTCTGCTCATTTTCAAGGCACAGCTGCTTCCCCATTCCCCAAAACGCATTCTCATCACTCAGAATAAGAGTAATCTGCTAACTAGCTAGGCTACTTGCTTGAAAATGTAGACTGGTGTAGAGGTTTCTCAAATAATCCCAGGCTGAGTAAACAGTAGCTCAACCAAGTTCAGCACAGTCCATAGGAGCAATATAATACTTATGCTGCAATTTCCTAAACCTATGCTGAATAAAGGAGGGTGCTTTATCCAACAAAGATCTACTTTTGTAGTCTAGCTATTAATGACCTTTATGATTGCAAATAAAGCAGATCACTCTGCCAGCACCCCACAAAAGACTTGATGATAAAACGGTAACAGGACCTTGAGAAATGTGGTGGAGCATGATAAATAATTTCCCTCCTTATCTAGTTGGCAAGAATGATGAGACAAGGTTCACTGGCAGTATTCTAAAACCACTGTTTAGGCCCTGGGGACTGTCTTGTGTCTTGATTGGGGCTCTGTGAAATACATGGGTGGCGAAAGGGAATAGAATTCTGGCAAAGCAAAGGAAGACTTAAAATGTTCTGACTCAACAGCAGTAAACACATTGCAATGGCCCTGGCTCTGGCCCCACAGACCTTCACTGATTCATGTAGGTGAAGGGGCATTTTAAACTGCTCTTTCTCCTCTCCCTGGTGAGTTTGTTGTGGTTCTTCTTCCCAATTTGTAAAGACATAAAGCATTGTCTTCCTGGGTACAGCAGGTCTTGCAGCCCCTGGTTTCGGGACCACCACCACTGCTGCGGCACCCGCTGGCTTCGGCGGCTTCGGCACCACCACCACAGGTAAGATTGGGACACTCACTATCCACTACATCAGTGTTTGACACAGTTACGCCGACTAGGCTAACTAACCAGCCAACTAGCCTTGTCCCAGATCTGTTTGTGCTCTTGCGTACTCCGTTGTCATTGACAAGCCAAATATGGCATGATGATGTTTGGCATGACAATTCCATAAAGAGTTTAGTCTTTTTAGACAAACTGGTTGCCTCCCACAGTATACAAATGTTCCAGCTTAACATGTCTGTACATGTACAATGTCAGTTTGGCATAGAGGAAAGGTCAGAGTTGGGACATTCAGCTTTCTTAACGTCACTGCTTTATCTGCTTGTTGCCCTAGCGTAAACATCTCCCGGACACAAAATAGTAGCTAGCAAGATGGAGATCACGGAGGTTATTTTTAATGCATTTTACTAGTTTGCGTCAACTACCTTCACTGAAACAACTGCATAGGTTTTGCCTGCAAACTTTGGTTTCGAATTGCGACATTCTGGCATATCTGCCTATGGTACGTTTTTCATGAGCTCAATTCCTGCCTACATTTTAAGCCCAGTCTACCCAAACTCGTGATTTGTTGGGAGAGTTGTCTGTTTTTGAAGAGAACCCACCCAGGGAATTTTTCTGTTTTCGTTTTCGACGTTGCCAAGAGAATACGTAATGTTTCACAGACCTAGTGCTGTTGCTGCCCTTGGTCTGGGATTTCTGAGACTATAAGGAGTTGGCAAGAGAGTAGAAACAGACTGGCACCCAGTCTACCAGTCAACCACATAAGTGTGTGAAATGTGGTTACTACTAAATAACCAGCCAACTACACCAGTGTATTCAACATACTACTAGTAGCCTACTAAGTAACTGACTGACTAACCGAGCAGGGAGTTGAGGTTTGCGGCTGTTAATTAGTTTCAGTTGCATCTCCTAGGCTTAGTAATTCCTTCAACTGAAAACATCACTGTTGGGGCTCGTCTATTATGAAGCTACCGGGCATTCTCTTGTACATACAATGTGTTTTAAGCTTTATCCCACTGTGGTACTGTCGCTGTGCTCTTCTCTACACTAACCCTCCTCTGCACCCCTCTCTCTCTCTCTCGCTGCCTGCCTGCTGGCTGCAGGATTTGGGGGGCTGGGAGCCGGGAGCACCACGTCTGGTGGGTTTAGTTCTGGGGGGTTTGGATTAAATGCAGCAGCTCCCAACGCGGCTGCAGTCAGCTTTAATGTTGGGGGCTTTGGTGCAGCTACCACAGCAGCCACTGTGTTCAATTTTGGTAATAGCCTGGCTAGCGCAGGTAGATGCCTTTCTAAAATTAATCAGTCAATCCGTCCAGTATGTCCACAGCACACATTTGTCCTCTCCATTTCTCCCAACACGATTGTCTTATTTTGGTGTGGTGTTTTTGTATATCTCCATCTCACCCTATGCATATGTTAAATGATCATCTAAAGATGTTAATCTTCAGATGTTTTGCATGTTGCCTGTTTTGGATACATCCGCTATCCACTACAACAGCCTTTGTCAGCACAGTCCCTGTGTCAAACTGGTGGGGCCTAATTATGGAGTTGGGAAAGGCTGTGCTTGATTATGTTTTGTGGAATATATTATGTGTTTCTTTCTTATCACATTTGCCTGAATCTGTTAGGCCACTGTTTGCCTGGCAGACACATGACATGTTCTGTGTTATTTATCCGGAGTATTTATCCTCTCCACTCTGAAAAAGCATTAGGGACCCTCTCCCATAGAGAAATCGATTGATCTCTATGCCCTCTCATCTTCCTTTCCATTATCCATCCATCCATGCTTTGTTACCTCTCTGATGGTGTGGTTTGTGTTGCTCAGGTGCTTTTGGGGGTTTTGGGACAACCACTACATCCGCTGCTGCGCCTGGGTCCACTTTCAGCTTCGCCGCTCCTGCAAGCACAACAGGTCAGGACTATGGAACTCGCCTGATGCCTGGCCCTGGGCTGGGGTTGGGCTGGGTACAGACGGAGAGAGCCAGGGCAGGAACTGCCTTGTCCCACTCTGCTTGCTCTTCTGCTATTCTGCATGGCAACTACTAGATGGTGCATTCTACCATAACATTTTATCTCGTCGCCATAGCCTCTCCCGATACTAGCATTCCATTCTCAAATTACCAACACACTATAACCCTAACCTAAGATTCTTACTAAGCCTCTCCAAAATACTCAGCAAATCCTTATATTTTCCATTTAATGATTTTATTGATATTCTTTCTGCTTCCAGGAGGACTGTTTGGTAATACCCAGAATAAGGGATTTGGGTTCTCCTCTGGGCTGGGCACTGGTACTACCACTGCAGCTGGGTTTGGAACAGGTCTGGGGACAACTCTAGGAGGTGGATTTGGTGGCTTCAATATCCAGCCACAGCAGCAACAGCAAGGTAAGAGGTCGTGTACATAAATAGTTGTAGTTCCTCTGGCTAAGAGCAGGGGTGAATCTCAAAAGTCCTTCCTCAATTCCTATGGTCCTCTCCTCGCCTCCTTAACCTTAGAGGGAACAGAAGATCCAATGATTTGAGACTGAGACGAGGAGAGAGAACGCAAGGAGGAATCAAGGAAAGATTATTGCGATTGACCCCTGGTGTATGCAAACCAAACAAGTTATGTTTTGTTAGGATAGCTAAGTTTTCTTTTGTCTTGCGCTATGTAGGAAGCTTTTTTGGGCAGCAGGCCCAAGCCCCGGCCCAGTCTAATCAGCTCGTCCACACAGCTAACGCCCTGTCTGCCCCCACCCTGCTGGGGGACGAGAGAGATGCCATCCTGGCCAAGTGGAATCAGCTCCAGGCCTTCTGGGGAACAGGCAAGGGCTACTTCAACAACCAACTGCCCCCTGTAGACTTCACACAGGAGAACCCTTTCTGCAGGTTCAAGGTAATGCCTCGTATGACCATTTTGCAGGCATATTTTGACATATTAAGTGTTTTGTATTATGTTAATAAAGCAAATTGCTGTTTAATCTTGAAAACTAGTTATCACATGTTAACCAGGTTCTGTGTACTATTCCTTTGTTCTTACGGTCTTCAGGTAACTGCAGTGGTGCAGACCAATCTTTCGGAGTTCAATTAACTGTCACAAATAGGCCTGCTAAAGAGAGACCAGCAAAGTTCTGTCTAGAGAATACAAAGGACATAAAGTGCTAGTTTATCATATCTGTGTGTCTTCCAGGCGGTGGGCTACAGCTGTATCCCAGGCAGTAAGGATGAGGATGGTCTGGTTGTCCTGGCCCTCAATAAGAAGGAGGCTGATGTCCGTAGCCAACAGCAGCAGCTGGTTGAGTCTCTACACAAGGTGCTGGGAGGGAACCAGACTCTCACCGTCAATGTAGAGGGAGTCAAAGCCCTGCCTGATGACCAGTGAGTAGTAGTAGACACTACCAGACAGTCTATGGGTACACAACAGAGAATGTACAGTATGTACAATGGTTAAATCTATCATGTTGACCTCATGAACTGTCAGTCCTTGCATCCATTGCTCAATCTATGAACCTATTGACAGTGGTTACATTTCTCCAACCCCATTACTCACTTTTATAGCAAACCAAGTGGCAGGGTTGCCATTTTCTTGTTTTTCAAATTAGTGCGCATTTAGAAGCCCTCTGTAAGTTTGTCTGTGTAAGACTGAATACCTGTCTTTGTCTCTTTCTAGGACGGAGGTGGTGATCTATGTGGTGGAGCGTTCTCCTAACGGCACATCTAAGAGGATCCCAGCTACAACACTGTACAGCTATGTAGAGCAGGCTAACACCAAGGCCCAGCTCACACAGCTAGCAGTTTTCATGTCTGTTACACGCACTGAGCTCTCACCAGCACAGCTCAAACAGCTGCTGGCGAATGCACCAGCAGGTATGTTTGATTGTGTGTGTCCTCCCCATACTCTCTGCTCTCAGCTCCATCACAACTAAGTTAATTGAGTCGTTTTGTTGAGAGCATGGTCGTGTTCCCCGGCTCAGATATTGCTGACGCATGCCAGATTGTACAATGCCTGAATACGTATTTTCCGTATCAGCTAACCACATGTTATAGCAATCTAGAGCCCGACGGCACAGTCGACGATCTGACACGCGACCATTGGTTGACGCATGCAACGTCTGAGCAGGGGAACAAGACCCATGTCTTTTAGATGTCCAACCAGATGTCTATTGTACAACAGCTGTGGCTTCATGGATTTCAGTTTGGTTTCATTTAATAGTTTATTGAAACACCAGCATATGGACTATTTGGTCCACATGTAGCACTAAGAATGTAACTGTTGTATATGACTCATTTTTGTTACTTGTTTTCAGGTGTGGATCCCATCATTTGGGAACAGGCAAAAGTAGATAACCCTGATGCTGACAAGTAAGTTGTTCAATGTGAATCAAGGTTCTTAAGAGCTTGTAATCATTACCTCTTCTGAGCTAGACGATAATTTTGAAACTGTATATGGAACTGATGATATTCGTAATCCTACAGGTTGATCCCCGTCCCCATGGTTGGTTTCAAAGAACTGCTCCGCAGACTGAAAATTCAGGACCAGATGACCAAACAGCACCAGTCCAGAGTAGACGTGAGTCCTGCCTCTACAATTGCCCTGCTTACCCGTACACATATGCGGCCTGCTTCTAAAAGTGTTATAAAAGAGGGTAGATGGATATGGAATTTGAAGGACCATAACATGAATAAAGAAACCTTAGGTTGCTGGTTCTTATCCAGCTTGAAGGACCGTGCAAAGGAGACTGGTAGACTGATCTGGCTACTAAGACCAATCCAGGAGGGGAGCTGTGTGATGCTGGCCTTCATTACACCTTTACTGTACTGCCTCACACTTCTCAGTAGCCTCCTTTATGCTATTGGAGGGTTCCTCCAATTTAGTTATGTACATGTTTCCTGTGGTCTTTCACCAGATCATCTCCAATGACATCAGTGAATTGCAGAAGAACCAGGCAACAACAGTGGCTAAGATCGCTCAATACAAGAGGAAGCTGATGGATCTCTCTCACAGAGTACTACAGGTACGTGACATACATAATAATGAAGTCAAGTCATCTGGCTGTTGTTAGTTGGTACAGCGGTATGCGTGTGTGAACATGCCAACAGAATATCATGAAGTAAACCTTTATCTTGATAAAATGAACTATTTAGCTATGTGTGTGTGTATAATAGGGCTGACGCCAATTAGTCGATTGTTTGGTCGTTAGGCTGTTGGTCGACCAAGATTTGTTTTAGTCGAGCAGTTATATACAGTGTGTGTGTGTGTGTGTATACACTGCTCAAAAAAATAAAGGGAACACTAAAATAACACATCCTAGATCTGAATGAATGAAATAATCTTATTAAACTTTTTTCTTTACATAGTTGAATGTGCTGACAACAAAATCACACAAAAATTATCAATGGAAATCAAATTTATCAACCCATGGAGGTCTGGATTTGGAGTCACCCTCAAAATTAAAGTGGAAAACCACACTACAGGCTGATCCAACTTTGATGTAATGTCCTTAAAACAAGTCAAAATGAGGCTCAGTAGTGTGTGTGGCCTCAACATGCCTGTATGACCTCCCTACAACGCCTGGGCATGCTCCTGATGAGGTGGCGGATGGTCTCCTGAGGGATCTCCTCCCAGACCTGGACTAAAGCATCCAACTCCTGGACAGTCTGTGGTGCAACGTGGCGTTGGTGGATGGAGCGAGACATGATGTCCCAGATGTGCTCAATTGGATTCAGGTCTGGGGAACGGGCGGGCCAGTCCATAGCATCAATGCCTTCCTCTTGCAGGAACTGCTGACACACTCCAGCCACATGAGGTCTAGCATTGTCTTGCATTAGGAGGAACCCAGGGCCAACCGCACCAGCATATGGTCTCACAAGGGGTCTGAGAATCTCATCTCGGTACCTAATGGCAGTCAGGCTACCTCTGGCGAGCACATGGAGGGCTGTGCGGCCCCCCAAAGAAATGCCACCCCACACCATGACTGACCCGCGCCAAACCGGTCATGCTGGAGGATGTTGCAGGCAGCAGAACATTCTCCACGGCGTCTCCAGACTGTTACGTCTGTCACGTGCTCAGTGTGAACCTGCTTTCATCTGTGAAGAGCACAGGGCGCCAGTGGCGAATTTGCCAATCTTGTTGTTCTCTGGCAAATGCCAAACGTCCTGCACGGTGTTGGGCTGAAAGCACAACCCCCACCTGTGGACGTCGGGCCCTCATACCACCCTCATGGAGTCTGTTTCTGACCGTTTGAGCAGACACATGCACATTTGTGGCCTGCTGGAGGTCATTTTGCAGGACTCTGGCAGTGCTCCTCCTGCTCCTCCTTGCACAAAGGCGGAGGTAGCGGTCCTGCTGCTGGGTTGTTGCCCTCCTACGGCCTCCTCCACGTCTCCTGATGTACTGGCCTGTCTCCAGGTAGCGCCTCCATGCTCTGGACACTACGCTGACAGACACGGCAAACCTTCTTGCCACAGCTCGCATTGATGTGCCATCCTGGATGAGCTGCACTACCTGAGCCACTTGTGTGGGTTGTAGACTCTGTCTCATGCTACCACTAGAGTGAAAGCACCGCCAGCATTCAAAAGTGACCAAAACATCAGCCAGGAAGCATAGGAACTGAGAAGTGGTCTGTGGTCACCACCTGCAAAACCAGTCCTTTATTGGGGGTGTCTTGCTAATTGCCTATAATTTCCACCTGTTGTCTATTCCATTTGCACAACAGCATGTGAAATGTATTGTCAATCAGTGTTGCTTCCTAAGTGGACAGTTTGATTTCACAGAAGTGTGATTGACTTGGAGTTACATTGTGTTGTTTAAGTGTTCCCTTTATTTTTTTGAGCAGTGTATGTATATATATGTGTGTGTGTGTATATGTATATGTGTATGTATATATATATATATATACACACACACACACAGTGAGGGGGAAAAAGTATTTGATCCCCTGCTGATTTTGTACGTTTGCCCACTGACAAAGACATGATCAGTCTATAATTTTAATGGTAGGTTTATTTGAACAGTGAGAGACAGAATAACAACAAAAAAATCCAGAAAAACGCATGTCAAAAATGTTATGAATTGATTTGCATTTTAATGAGGGAAATAAGTATTTGACCCCTCTGCAAAACATGACTTAGTACTTGGTGGCAAAACCATTGTTGGCAATCACAGAGGTCAGACGTTTCTTGTAGTTGGCCACCAGGTTTGCACACATCTCAGGAGGGATTTTGTTCCAATCCTCTTTGCAGATCTTCTCCAAGTCATTAAGGTTTCGAGGCTGACGTTTGGCAACTCGAACCTTCAGCTCCCTCCACAGATTTTCTATGTGATTAAGGTCTGGAGACAGGCTAGGCCACTCCAAGACCTTAATGTGCTTCTTCTTGAGCCACTCCTTTGTTGCCTTGGCCGTGTGTTTTGGGTCATTGTCATGCTGGAATACCCATCCACGACCCATTTTCAATGCCCTGGCTGAGGGAAGGAGGTTCTCACCCAAGATTTGACAGTAGATGGCCCTGTCTATCGTCCCTTTAATGCGGTGAAGTTGTCCTGTCCCCTTAGCAGAAAAACACCCCCAAAGCATAATGTTTCCACCTCCACGTTTGACGGTGGGGATGGTGGTGTTGGGGTCATAGGCAGCATTCCTCCTCCTCCAAACACGGCGAGTTGAGTTGATGCCAAAGAGCTCGATTTTGGTCTCATCTGACCACAACTCTTTCACCCAGTTCTCCTCTGAATCATTCAGATGTTCATTGGCAAACTTCAGACGGCCCTGTATATGTGCTTTCTTGAGCAGGGGAACCTTGCGGGCGCTGCAGGATTTCAGTCCTTCACGGCGTAGTGTGTTACCAATTGTTTTCTTGGTGACTATGGTCCCAGCTGCCTTGAGATCATTGACAAGATCCTCCCGTGTAGTTCTGGGATGATTCCTCACCATTCTCATGATCATTGCAACTCCACGAGGTGAGGTCTTGCATGGAGCCTCAGGCTGAGGGAGACTGACAGGTCTTTTGTGTTTCTTCTATTTGCGAATAATTGCACCAACTGTTGTCACTTTCTCACCAAGCTGCTTGGTGATGGTCTTGTAGCCCATTCCATCCTTGTGTAGGTCTACAATCTTGTCCCTGACATCCTTGGAGAGGTCTTTGGTCTTGGCCATGGTGGAAAGTTTGGAATCTGATTGATTGATTGCTTCTGTGGACAGGTGTCTTTTATACAGGTAACAAGCTGAGATTAGGAGCACTCCCTTTAAGAGTGTGCTCCTAATCTCAGCTCGTTACCTGTATAAAAGACACCTGGGAGCCAGAAATCTTTCTGATTCAGATGGGGTCAAATACTTATGTCCCTCATTTAAAATGCAAATCAATTTATTAAAATGTTTGTGTTTTTCTGGATTTTTTTGTTTTTATTCGGTTTCTCACTGTTCAAATAAACCTACCATTAAAATTATAGACTGATCATTTCTTTGTCAGTGGGCAAACGTACAAAATCAGCAGGGGATCAAATACTTTTTTCCCCTCACTGTGTATATATATATATATATATGAGAGAGTGATCTAGATATAGATATATAGATGCGCCCAACACAGTGAACTAATCCATTGTGGAGGCCTCGACTAAAAGCCTTTTTAATCAATTTATGCTTGATTCGAAAATGTGGTCGGAGGCTCCATATGGAGGGTGTGACGCAATTGCGGAGCCTCCAGAGGCATGCAGAGGCCAAATTGTGCTCTGTACCGCATCGCCATGCGCCTCCCAAATTTTGTAACAATGCAGAGAGCTCTGTATAGCTCCGCATTGACATGATTGGTTGACGGTCGGTGGGGGCGGTACATCCTGTATGAACACAAACTCACTTCCTTGACAACAGCTCTGCACTGCTCCGCAAAGTGCAAGAAGTATGAATGCCCTGACTTCTGCTGAGGCCATTCTTGCCCTGACCTCTACTGAGGCCATATCACTGTAAATGCTGCATGGCCAATGCAGACGTCAGATTGACCATGCGCCCAGATGCACAATGCACTTCTCTCTCAAGAATGCGCTCTCTACCGCCAATTTGTGCACATTCATTGTTTCATAACTTCATTGTGCGAATTGTTTGGGTTTATAATATAATATGCCATTTAGCAGACGCTTTTATCCAAAGCGTATATCAATTCACCATTACATATATCACCAGTAGTACATTTACCGTTAATTTCTAATCTACAATGGTTGTTACTTTGGTTACGGTCATTTCTTTTAATGCATTCAATATTATTATTCCAGTTTTCCTGTTCTCATTGTTGGAGTGGACACATTGTTTGCGGAGTGCACAACCTATGCTACACTTGTGAGAAATAAGTTTTGGTTTATTGAATCTGTCTTTTGTTTGGAGCACTCTTGTCAATGTTGAGTAAGGACGCGCACGCATAGAAGTATGTAGGCATATAAATGTGCCCATTTGGGGATCTGATAGTATTTCTGATTGGCTTAACGCACCACCACTAATAGAATTTCTCTAAGTAATGTTTTCTTCACCTCAAAATACCAAGCAAACTAAGTCTGTTTTTACATCCATTGGGAATTGCAATAGTCCCTCAATGTATTGGAAAAATCTTTCTAACTCCTTCCCTTTCGATAACCACTCGGCGTGAAAGGGAAAAATGTAATGCTCTGATCCAGTGGAAACCTCATAAAATAGGCTTCTTATCAGTGCTTGACTTGGACTGAAATAGGTTCCGGTACTCATTTTGGGTGCTGGTACTGTTTTATATTTAGGTGCAGGAGCTCCTCAATACTTTTGAGCTAATATTCTATGAGAGGAACAGGAGCTCAAGCAGTAGAATATTTGAGGTGCCGGTACTCCGCTAAGGTGAGGTCCTGCCCAAGTCAAGCACTGCTTCTTATCCCTTGTGCAAATAGCCTACAGCTGTGTCTGTCCCGAGCTCACTGGCGTGGGAAACTCCCTCAGGACAGCGGAGTCACTGACCACCTTCCGGAGACACTTGAAACCCTACCTCTTTAAGGAATACCTGGGATAGTATAAAAGTAATCCTTCTACCCCACCCCCACAAAAAAAAGTGTGTGTGTATATATATATATATATATATATATATATATATATATATATATATATATATATATATATATATATATATATATACATACATATAGGCTGCAATGTTTTTATTTGTTGTCAATAGAAGTTACTTTTTAGGTCTGTATCACTTTCATTTAGATTTGGATAGAATTTTGATTAACCACATGATTTTGAGATGAAGACGTTATTATAAATTAAATTAAACTGTTTCACGAAAATGTGCATATTAAAACCATAACTGGCCCGTAGAGTGGTAAGAAATTGGCATTCCACATGAGAAAGGTTGCCGACTCCTCTGGTAGCCTATTACCGGCAACTTCAGGAGAGTAATGGCAGAATCTGCGAGAGCCAGCAGGAGCGGGAGGAGAATAGTTGGGTCAGGTTAAGGTTTCTTTCTTCTGGTTATCTAGAGCTCTGGCGCCCTCTTCAGGCATCAAACCGTAAGCTTAAACCATCAGACAAGGTCAATGCACATAGTTGATTTTATTAAACACATGGGTGTGTCTATAATGGAAGAATACATGTTTAAACATTTTGAGCATTCGTTTGGTCGAAAGAACAGATGACTTTCGGTCTACCAATTTTTTGGGGGGTCGGGGACTGCTTTAGTGTATAAACGGTATGTGTGTGTATAATGTCTGTGTTTAGGTGCTGATCAAGCAGGAGATTCAGAGGAAGAGTGGCTATGCCATCCAGGTGGATGAGGAGCACCTAAGAGTGCAGCTGGACACCATCCAGTCTGAACTCAATGCCCCCACGCAGTTCAAGGTAAGTTCACTTCAACATCTGATTATTCCATACAGATGCTGGCACTCCGCCATGCCCTACGTGACTATACTAAAAGCAGACTTTTAACTGCCACTCTGGGCACCCCACATATTTACATTTTGGTCATTTAGCAGACGCGCTTATCCAAAGCGACTTACAGGTGCAATTAGGGTTAAGTGCCTTGCTCAAGGGCACATTGACATATTTTTCACCTAGTGGCCCGATGCTGGCCAGATGCTCTTAACTGCTAGGCTACCTGTCACCTCTCACTGATTCAGATTTGATGACCCTGCTCTTATTGGATGTACAGTAATTTGAAGACCATGTCTATGAAAGTAACTTTAAATGGTTATTGCTCTATTAGGGGCGTCTGAACGAGCTGATGTCTCAGATCCGGATGCAGAACCACTTTGGCGCGGTGCGCTCAGAGGAACGATATAGTGTGGACGGAGACCTTCTCAGAGAGATCAGACAGGTGAGACTTAAAATTATATTCTATGGGCGAGACAAACTACTGCATGTATATGTATATGCATATTATGGGAGTGTGAGTGTGTTCAGAAGTGCTTTGTCTGTCTGCTTACAGTAATGTGTAGGTGTGTTGTCTGCCGTTAGTCCGTCAGTAGTGCTAACTGTCTAGTTTATATGTGTGGTTGGTCAGTAGTGCTAACTGTCTTTAGTTTATATAGGTGGTTGGTCAGTAGTGCTAACTGTCTTTAGTTTATATGGGTGGTTGGTCTGTAGTGCTAACTGTCTTTAGTTTAGTTTATATGTGTGGTTGGTCAGTAGTGGTAACTGGGTGTCTCTCTTCTCCTCTCCACAGCACCTGAAGCAGCAGCAGGAGGGTCTGAGTCAGCTGATCATTGTGATCAAAGACGACGTGGAAGACATCAAACTGATAGAACATGGCCTCCTGGACAGACTCGGCTGACCTCAAAGTGCCTCCCAGGCCCCACGTGGCCCTGAATTCTCTCTCACTGCTGACAAACATTAAAGGGACATGCCTCTTCTTAGCAAGGCATATATATATATATATATATATATGTGTATATGTATATGTATATATATGTATGTGTGTATATATATATATATATATATATATATATATATATATATATATATATATATATATATATATATGTATATGTATATGTATATGTATGTATGTGTGTGTCTGTTCAAAGGTCTGTCTCCTACTCAGAGGTGCTTTCTCACACAGATTAACCCTTGTCCTGGACTAAAAAGCAAGCTCAATGGTGAATCTCAATCAAAAATGCTTTTTAGTCCAGACTACGCATAATCTGTGTCTGGGAAACTGCTCCTAAAACCCCCATCCATCTAAACTGGAACAAGACCGCCTTAGAAAAACCGCCTGACCGTCTGGTGGACACTGTCTGGTTGACAGCCAGTAAAATGTGACTGTTTGAGATTTGGGGTGATATTCAAGTGCGATATTCAACACATTGTATATAATTACGCCTTTTATTATTGCTTTAGTCATATTTTATATGATGGAATAAGAATTATACACAAGCCCAACATGGTTTAATAAAATGTCATTGAGGAGTGTTTTTCAACATTACTCTCCTGTGTTTGGATCTCTTTCTTACCCAAGTGTAACCGGCATCACAGTGCTAGCTTAGCAGCTTTGCTTCCTCCCTCAATCTGCCTCTTGACTGGGCTTGAACCAGGGTCCTCTGTCTCCCATGACCTCCCGCTTGACAACATACAAACCAGTTGTGCCACTGAAAAGGATCTGATTCAATGGCACCATTGACGACATTTTAAGCTGTGGGTGAGTTTATCCGGTACAATCTTAATCCGTTACACAAGCAATAGGTGCCATGCATGCACCTCACATCCGTACAATTTCTAAAACGAATGCTTTGCAAATCCATATCCTGTTCTGTCTGGCTCTCTCGCTTATATAATGACTAGGCAATGGCTGTACTGTTTATCTATAGAAGCAATATTCCCTTTGGTCATAATGTTATTTTGGTCACCTATAGAGGCCTGTATGAATAGTCAAGTAAGCCCCCAAATCTTTTCAATCTTTTTCTGACGATGTTGCATCTTTTCTCAGTGGCTCTCAGTATCTGTCCTTTTGGAGATGCTGGAAATGGGTCCATTGATTTGAATTAGATTCCCTGTTTTATAGTATATTTTCTCTAGAAGTGGGTATCAAGAGTGGTTCATCCCCCTCCTTTCACTAGCATTCATGTTGTCCCTCCCCACAGAGCATGGTGGAGCACCATGAGGCTGGCAAGCAAGACTACTGTTCATGTATCAGCAGGTCGGCTGGAAGCCCTTGTCCGATCATACTGTTGACCCTCTCCAGGGCTAGGCCATTGATTTGAATGGGTAGATTCCAGTTGGTAGTAATATACTGTATTTCCTCTTGAAGTGCTTTATCAGTGGGTCGTCATCTCCCTTGTTGCAGTAGGTCGGCTGGAAGCCCTCCTATGGTACTGTTGACCATTGATTTTAATGAGTAGATTCCAGTTTGTAGTAATATATTTCCTGTTTAAGTTGTGTGTCAGTGGGGGTCACCACCTTCATTCTGCAGCAGGTCTCCTCCCACTAGCCGGAAGGCCTCCATGAACTCGTTGATGTCTATGCTGCCGTCTTTGTTGAAGTCGATGGAGACGGCCAGGTCACTGATGGCCTCGTCACTGATCTCTGTCTGCAGATGAGAGCTCAGCAGCTTCCACGTCTGACGGAACTCTTCAAACGAGATCAGACCTGGGAGACAATTAAATAGAATTGTGCTTTATATTTTAGATCATGGGCTCTATTCAATCCGCATCACGGAAGTGCAGCTTTAAAGCGTGATTGAAATGTAAATGCAATGTTCCCGCGGAGACTGCATTCACGGTAAACACTGCATATGTCGACTCAATCTGGAGTGACCTTTACATTTCTATTGTGGAATCTGTGGTCACTTCAGTTTCACAGGTTGAATAGAAATGTGTCCTTTTGCTCTGAAACCTGGCTTCTTATGATTTGTACTCAATCGGATAGGTTTATTTAACATGTAAGATACATAGCCCACAGATCAGACAAGAAAAATAAAGTCCATCAGGTCTATGTGTTCTGATGTGTGCCTGTGTAACAAAGTTGGATTTGTAACCTCACTCCCCAGCTTGAAATGTCTCCAGTTGCCGTATCGATTCTCTAGCTTTTCTATAGTGTAATTGGTCAAGGGATGCGATCACTAGTGTTTGCGCAAGGCAGAGGATCTGAGATCGAGTACCAGCAGTGTGGGCTTGTGTGGAAAGAAAATATAACCTACTGTTAAGCAAGCACAACGTCTGTTACACCTGTGTGTCTGTTGTCCCTGTAGGTGTCCTATGCTGGTGACACATCCAATTTTCCCTCTGGGGATCAATGTTCAATTACTCTTTGTTTTCAATGGAACATCATATTGAGCTTGTTAGTAATAAGCTCTCTATATGTTATGACAGAGGGGCCTGAGAGGCTTGAGAAAGGTAATGTACGTAAAACACAACAGGGCAGGTATCTGGGCCAAGCTGATTATTATTACTCACCTGAGTTGTCTGTGTCTATGATCCTGAAGATGGTCTCCAGGTTGGAGTGGTGCTTATACATGGTCTCAAGCAGACTGGCATTCGAGAGCTGGTCGATAAAAGGCAGCGACCAGGAATTTTGTTAGGTGCTTGTTTACTCTTTTTTTTATTTGTGTGTTTACGTTTGTGTGTTAGTCAACCTCACCTCTGTGTTGGGCTCGGTGATGGCCAGTTCTCTGAACCAGAGCTGGTAGTCCAGCATGCCATCCAGAGTGTCTCCCACTAGCTGAGACCGCAGCACCCTCCAGGGTAGACCCAGCCTCAACACAGCCTCCATGGCACAGGCCCAGTGGCCCAGAGAGATCAGCCCTGAGAGACCACACCACACAGCCATGACAGAGACCATGCAGCAGTCACAGTCAGTCTCAAACTGCTACACTAACCCTAACCCTTCAGGGTAAACCCAGCCTTAACACAGCCACAGAGAAATCAGCCCCGGGAGAGAGACCAGGCCATGCAGTGATCACACAGATAAACACATAACACTGACAGACTTTACAGCATAGAGAAGTTTTATCTATATGCTATACTGGGCCATAAAGACACTTAATCATCACTGAGAGCGATGCAATAAAACATTATTTGATGTTGACACACCATTCAGTGTCCATTGTGAACCTTTATGTTTTTAAGACTGCTAAATATACTGTTGCCATTAAAGCCACTAGATGGTGATGAATAGACAACATGCTATAATGTATTCATAAAGTACTAAGGGGGAACAGAGGTTCCTGGTAGTTGTGATATGAGTGAAACGGTGAGTGCGTGGTTCAGTACCTGTATTTTCCGGGTCGTACTCCTGAAAGGAACTGATAAGGTCTGACTTGTGTGCAAACAGCTTCTCCCTCAAAGCCCTGAGAGCTGAACGCTCAGTCCGCCCAACACTGAAAACACAAGGCATCAACCACATCACACATAGTGGATAACATGTCTGAGGTATACAAGGAATTAATTGCATGGTTTTTAGTGAAGTACAGTATGTGTGAGATATCAATTATCAGACATATCACACACATCTGAGTTAATCTTCTTTTAGTCTGATATTCAATTGTTCAGAGTACCGTGAAATGCTTACTTACAAGCCCTTAACCAACAATGCAGTTCAAGACATAGAGGTAAGAAAAAATTTACTAAATGTTATTTTTTTTACACAATAAAAGAATGAGGCTATATACAGGGGGTACTGGTACCGAGTCAATGTGCGGGGGTACAGGTTAGTCGAGGTAATTTGGGTAAAGTGACTATGCATAGATAATAAACAGCGAGTAGCAGCAGTATAAAAACAAAGGGGGTCAATGTAAATAGTCCGGGTGGCCATTTGATTAATTGTTCAGCAGTCTTATGGCTTGGGGGTAGAAGCCGTTAAGGAGCCTTTTGGTCCTAGACTTGGTGATCTGGTACCGCTTGCCGTGCAGTAGCAGAGAGAACAGTCTATGACTTGGGTGACTGGAGTCTTTGACAAGTATTTGGGCCTTCCTCTGACACTGCCTAGTATATAGGTCCTGGACAGCAGGAAGCTTGGCCCCAGTGATGTACTGGGCCGTACGCACTACCCTCTGTAGCGCCTTACGGTCGGATGCCGAGCAGTTGCCATACCAGGCGGTGACACAATGGTTGCGTTTACACAGGCAGTCCAATTCTGATCTTTTTCCCAATTATTGGCAAAGAGCTGATCTGATTGGTCAAAATACCAATGGAGAAAAAGTGGAGAAAAATATCAGAATTGGGCTGCCTGTGTCCCAGAGTCCCCTATGTTACCTTTGTCTCAGTGTGAGCTCCCTGGTAGCCCTGTTGGCCTGGTACTGGATGAAGTGAGGCACCAGGTCAGGACCCATCCTGATGTACGCTCCTCTGTTGCTTCCCACCTCATAGTAGTTAGATGCAGAAAATATGGTTAGGACCTAGAGAAAGAGAAAGAACAAGCATTATTGAAAGGTTAGATTTTGCTTTATATCTCAAAGCTATTTTGCCTACTCTTAGAGGATTTGATCAAACACTCACAGTTTGTATTCCTTTTTCAAATAGATGGCGGCAATAATTATTTTTGCTACAGTTTACTGCATATTTAATTCCCTTTTGATTGTGCTCTGTCTATCTGTGGCCTTCCTCACCCTGCGGTTGTGGCAGAACTCGTAGCCCTCCTGCTTGCACTCATGTGAGCGTATGAGCAGCGTGAGGTTGTGACGTCGCAGGACCTCTTCTGTCACGTCAGGACCCCAGTAACATCCTCCACCTCGCACCTCGTTGGGGACACAGCCATCCTGGGGCATGGGGTCGCTCCACAGCATGTCTACAATCTGCAGCCCAGACAGACAACACCAGGGTGCAGTTTCTAGTTAATACCACCACTAGGGGGATGGCCTTCCACTGTAGGCTTTCACTGGTTCTGTAGACTAACAATGTCCACCCAAATCAGTCTATTTATTGCTTTCAATCATCTTGGCTATTCTTCAAATAAAGGTAGAACTCAAATCAATTCCACCCCAGTATATAAACAAAAGTCAGCATTTAACTCCATCAGCTCCTGCTATCCTAATCCTTTCAGTCCAATATGGATCATCCTCCTAAAACATCACCAACTGTTATTTTGCCTTTAATCCTACTCTAACAAATAGATGTGACGTAAATGGTGTCTAATCTCAGTTACCTGTTTCCACTCGTTCCCGTACGACTCCAGCAGCTCTCCAGAGTCTGGGTCAGAGTCAGGGTCAGAGTTAGCCAGGGAGTTACGGAGGTCTCTGTAGGACTGGCTGAGTCCGGCCTGCCTGCGTCGCTCCTTCAGCTCCTCTTCTACAGAGCAGGTCACCCTGTTGTTCAGGCCCTGCAGGGAGCGACGCTGGACCTCGTGCCTGGTCCCTGTGCTGCTGCTGTGGGTCAGGGAGCGGACCCGGCGCCTGCTGCTGTCCACAGGCTTGGAGGTTGGGTCATCGTCTTCTAGATTGGAGTCCGTCATACCTGACCTGCTCTGCCTCTTCCTCTTGGGAGGCCGGAGAGCTGAAACATACTACAGACACAAGTATTGTCATGATCCATTCTACAATGAGCAATGCTGTACAAACATGATTAAACAATGAGCAAAGTGATCTGGGCATGCAATCAACTTAAGCTTCTCAACCAAGGAGACCCACTATATATTTAGGTTTAGGGATATTTAGGGATCCACTATTTTGGGGTTTTCATTACACCTATCTATACTAAGGCTAGAATAGACTAAGAGGATTCATCAATAAGTGTCTAATTGATGCTCAGCTACATTTAAGTAATGTGGGTGAACTAAAGAGAATGGTTCTGTGAGGTCATACTTTGCTACAGGTCAACTATTCCTTTAAGCGAGGGGTTAGTGAGGTTTTACTTTGTGTCTGTCCACCCTGGATATGAGGTGAAGGTCCGTGGTGTCTGAGATACCGCCGTGCAGAACCAACACCTTGTGGTCAATTACTGTCGCCAGGGGCAACCAGCTAAAGATCTTCTGGAGAAGCTTTAGAATCTTCTTGCCATGAAGCTAAGCACAAACCAAGCGACAGCAATGTCGATCAGAATATTTCTTATTATGCATACGTTAATATAAGATTCAACATGTCAGCGTCAGTGATTATATTGAAAACTATGAGGCCTATGCAGTGCTATTTCTTTCCTTTTGGGATACACACTATTCCCACATCAAATACAGTAGGTCTTAAATCAAGAACTGAGTGGATGTGGATGGTGTTATCTACCAACAGTTAATCCATTGGCTACTGTAACCATGTAACCTAAAACAAACAGGTCTTCCTGACTAACTGGGTCAGTGTGCTGGCTATTTAAGACTGACTGACTGACACACGTACACAAAGATAGAGAGAGAGGAAGAGAGAGTCACGAAGAGTCACACAGTTGACGGAGAGGAAAATCCTGTAATCTCCTTAGACAAGAGGGAGAGTGACCCACATTACACACTGACATAGATAGGCTTGATATAAGTGGACTCTGATCACTGGTAAACGTAATACTCAGGAAGATGACATGATTCTGATTAGCAGAATAAACTACCTATGGTGAGGTTAATCTAGGTCAAATAATTGGACTGCTCTGGGAAAATTATAGTTTTTTAAAACACTTGGTTTGGGGTTGTGAGGCAAAGCAATTTGAACAGTTATCCAATGTTATAGAATGACACAAGGTGAGACCTACCCTGTATTTTCCAAGCACCTCTTTGGTGAAGCCATATCTGGGGGAAAATAAAAGTGTGTTGAATTATGTTTCTACTGGGGAGTACCAGAGAAGAAGAGATTTTTTATTATTATTATTATTCCAGCAACATAAGACACTTCCAGTACATACAGTTTAAAATACTACATGACATTACATTTCATAACACCTTACCCAACACATTCAGGCCACCACTCCATCATCCATCACCACATACACTACCATTCAAAAGTTTGGGGTCACTTAGACATTTCCTTGTCCTTCTTGAGACTAGTTGAGTATCTGGAGCATCAGCAATTGTGGGTTCGATTACAGGCTCAAAATGGCCAGAAACAAAGAACTTTCTTCTGAAACTCGTCAGGTCCTCAACTGGCAGCTTCATTAAATAGTACTCGCAAAACACCAGTCTCAACTTCAACAGTGAAGAGGTGGCTCCGGGATTCTGACCTAGGCAGAGTTGCAAAGAAAAAGTCTGGTGTCTGTGTTCTTTTGCCCATCTTAATCATTTTTTTTTTTTGGCCAGTCTGAGATATGGCCTTTTCTTTGCAACTCTGCCTAGGTCAGCATCCCGGAGCCACCTCTTCACTGTTTTTAGTTGAGACTGGTGTTTTGCGGGTACTATTTAATGAAGCTGCCAGTTGAGGACCTGTGAGGTGCCTGTTTCTCAAACTAGACACTCTAATGTATTTGTCCTCTTGCTCAGTTGTGCACCGGGGCCTCCCACTCCTCTTTCTATTCTGGTTAGAGCCAGTTTGCGCTGTTCTGTGAAGGGAGTAGTACACAGCGTTGTACGAGATCTTCAGTTTCTTGGCAATTTCTCGCATAGAATAGCCTTCATTTCTCAGAACAAGAATAGACTAACGAGTTTCAGAAGAAAGTTCTTTGTTTCTGGCTATTTTGAGCCTGTAATCGAACCCACAATTGCTGATGCTCTAGATACTCAACTAGTCTCAAGAAGGCCAGTTTTATTGCTTCTTTAATCAGCACAACAGTTTTCAGCTGGGATTGCAAAAGGGTTTTCTAATGATCAATTAGCCTTTTAAAATGATAAACTTGGATTAGCAAACACAATGTGCCATTGGAACACAGGACTGATGGTGGCTGATAATGGGCCTCTGTACGCCTATGTAGATATTCCATTAAAAATAAGCCGTTTCCAGCTACAATAGCCATTTACACCATTAACAATGTCTACACTGTATTTCTGACTTGATGTTATTTTAATGGACAAAAAATTGCTTTTCTTTCGAAAACAAGGACATTTCTAAGTGACCCCAAACTTTTGAACGGTAGTGTACCTCTCTGTTGATATCACATACATTATCAAGCATGTTATCCAGATACTGACTGTTAGCACTTGGTTGTCTATAGCAGCTTCCCACCAGAATGGGCTTTAGGTGAGGCAGATGAATCTGTAGCCATATTACTTCAACAGTATTTAACACGAGATCCACTCTAAGTTTTACAGGAATGTGGTTCTAAATATAAACGGCAACACCTCCATCTTTGGCATTTCCGTCTTTTCTGTAGATGTTATAACTATGTATTGCTACCACTGTATCATCAAAGGTATTATCTAAGTGAGTTTCAGAGAACTTTGTTGACGTGGGCTATCTTTAGCACTTTTCTGGGATGCTTGACTGTTTTCATTGCTTTACTGGGATGCTTAGCAGAAGTAGACATGCTTATGTTATGTATGTTAGTGCAGGGATTATACTGTACATACAGTATGTCTGATAGTACCTTAGGTTAACGATGTGGTCCTCGTGGTTGCCTCTGTTCAGATGGACATCATTAGGATAGACCAGGAGGAAGGAAAACAGGATGAGGAGGATCTCCATGGAATTTTTTCCTCGATCCACAAAGTCTCCATTGAAGACATAAGGCTTCTCAGACGATGGTAAACCATTCTGATCAGGATAGGTAAGTACATGTCAAATACTTCTTAAAGAAAGCTTAAATTAGTTTGCATTCATTATGAATGAGATGTCATGTGAATTGTGGTGGTGCATTGACAAAAAAGTGGCATCCACCTTGTAGAAGACCAACAAAAGATCCTCAAGATGCCCATGTAAGTCTCCTGTTGGGAGGGAGAGGGTTTACCAGTGAGTGACAAGTTGGTAAAACATAAGAAGCAATAAAGCTATACAACCAGTGAATTGTTTAAAAGCCTTATGTGTCATTATGTTTCTACCACAGATGGTGATCTCCTTGCTGTGGCAGGTGGAGATCTGACTGATGTTGGGGAGGATCCTCAGCAGCCTCCAGGTCTCCCCAAGGAGCTGAAGGACATAGCGAGAATGGAGCTGCTACTGGGAAAAACAGACAGGGAAGAACAGAACGCTTGAGGGAAAACGAGAAGTGAGAGGGAAGTTTATTAGTAGAAAGTCAACAGAAGAGGGCAGTCAGCAGAGAAAACTACCATGGTGGCAAGCCTCTGCCCAACAGTTGGTGGTAGAATGGAGGTTTGGCACATGGAGGCTGCTGATGGCCCTCACTACGGTTGCTTGCTGGATCACTTGTGAGTAGGAATACCTACTTGTTTGTTCTTGAAGGCCTCCACCAGCTCAGCTGCGTTGGAAAATGTTATGGGGAAAGAGAGGTGGGGACCAGAGTACAGCTCTGGTACCTCAATGCTCTTGTAGCAGAAGTACCTCTCCCAATCTACATTACGGCAGATGTTGTTCTCACGGAAGATGTGTGAGATCAGGTTCCCTAAGATGGAGATAGGACACAGGTTTTTCAGAGGAGGTACTGTAGGCTATTAGTCAAATGAGCTAATGGGAGGAAAGCTAGGTTGCATCCCCAATGGCAACCGAGTATTCACTTTGTAGTTCACTACTTTTGACAAGGGTCCATAGGTAATGCACTATATGGACAATAGTGTGCCATTTGGGATGCATCCCTAATCTCATACACCTGACTTCTTCGGCTATAGCCTGGGGATGAAGTGAGAGGATTGCTTACTCTCACTGCTGGCTGGAGTGAAGTGATCCATGAGGTAGCCAAAGAAGTTGTAGAGCTGAGATAAAGAAGTAGAAGAAGAAGAAATAGAAGAAGAATAAAATAAATAATTCATTAAATCCTATTTGGAGAAAAAAAACTAAAAGAATCACATGGTGTCATATGAATGTGTAGTGTTCCCGCAATGCTGGGTATGTGTGTCTGGTGTCCCACCTTAATCTGATCCTGCTCTCCTGCATATTCGATGGACTGGAAGATGTTCCAGGTGCACCTGCGTCTCATCTCCAGCCGTGCCACGTACTGACGGTACCAACGTTGGATCAGGAGAGCTGCCCTCATGGCTGGAGGAATGAGTAGCGGGGGGAGAGAGCATATTACAACACATAGGCACTTACAGTATGTGATCCCTGTGGGAGTTGAACTCACAACCCTCTTGTTGCTATCGCGATCCCATTAACAAAAGAACACACAGGTTTACCGTGCAAATCTAGCTAGCTATCATTATTGGACCCACTGTATCTTTAGTTGTTTCACTTCAGTTATTTCTGAAAAGCAGTATTACAGCTATTTGTAGCTTGTCTGAATGTCTGATACCCATCTGAGGAGTAATACAGCTATTCTTAGCTTGTCTGATGATATGGTTAACAGTAACTACTGGAACACTCAGTCATAGATTACAGATTCAGATCCTCCAATACCCCATAATGATCTGTAGTGATTTAGTCCTCGAGCGGAAGATTGACTGACTCACCTGTGGCAGCTTCACATCACGTTGCAGGAAACAAAGACACATAAACAAAGTACAAGTGTTAATCTTAGTTAATCAAGTGTTAATCTTGCACAGTATGTGATGATGATAATAACATCAATGTTAATTTTGAAAACAAAGTTGAATTAAACAAATGTTGAATTGTAAGACTTTACCTGGGACTAAGAGGCTGGCTGTAGGTAACAGAAAAACAAGACAGAGAAGATGAGTTCATTATTCTCTAGGCTAATCCAAACTGGTTTATAATGGTTTAATGGTTTATAGAGGTGGTAATACATGAGAAAAGCGTTTACTTCCTCTGTCGCGTTTCTTCAGCTGGTCTGATTTTGCAAAGCCACATCCCATGACCCTGTGTGAGGTACAATTGTAGTTATATATATTTTTTAAAATAGATGTGCATCTTTTCATTGAATAAGTTTACAAGCATTATTTCCGTGATTCAAAGGTGCATTTAATTAACTGCTCTGTGATTGATTAAGATTTGGACATAGACAATTGGCCTGGCAAGAATAGCTTGACATTATTGTCAACCAACAAAGCCATTAATTATCATATTTTACAACAATCTTCTCTATTTCAAGCAGTCAAATCCCCTCATCATACTAGAAAACTGCACCACAATTGCAAAATCCATCTTACCTGGCCAGGTTGCCTCTCCACGATGAGGTCTCTCCCTCAGTATTTTAGCACATCAGCAGCAAAGAGCTTATTCTTGTAACTCTTTACTGTCCTGTCAGCCTCAAGAACACGTTGAGAGAAGAGACAGGGATGTTTGAAGGATGTTTCAGATATATTTATTCCAACAGGAGACAGCCTGTTCCAGTTGTTTTTGTGATGATGGGTGGTACCTCTAGGTTGGTACACACAGGGCCTCGGTCATGCTCCAGGTATAGTATAGCTGGTAGTGAGTATCACCAAGTGTCTTCTTGGCCAAGCCCCGTGACCACTTAATCAAAACAACAAACCACAAGTGGATTAGGATTAAGCCTCACAGTCACTATGGCTGGCCTCTATACTGAATATATGGATGAAGGATCTGATAAAGGGCAAAAAATGGCAGAAATAAATATACAGTGCCTTCAGAATGTATTCATACCTATTCCACATTTTGTTGTGTTACAGCCTGAATTCAATATATATATATATATATTTTTCACACATCTACACACAATACCCCATAATGACAAAGTAAAAACATGTTTTTAGAAATGTTTGCACCTTTATTGAAAATGAAATAAATAAATATCTAATTTACATACAGTACGTATTCACACCCCTGAGTCAATGCATGTTAGAATCACCTTTGGCAGCGATTACAGCTGTGAGTCTTTCTGGGAAAGTCTCTAAGAACTTTGCACACCCGCAATGAATTCAAATCAAATCAAATGTATTGGTCACATACACATGGTTAGCAGATGTTATTGCGAGTGTAGCAAAATGCTTGTGCTTCTAGTTCCGACAGTGCAGCAATATCTAGCAAGTAATATCTAACAGTTCCACAACAAATATCTAATACACACAAATTTAAGTAAAGGAATGAAATAAGAATATATAAATATATGGATGAGCAATGTCATTGTCAGAGCGGCATAGGCTAAGATGCAATAGATAGTATACAATACAGTATACAGTGGGGAGAACAAGTATTTGATACACTGCCGATTTTGCAGGTTTTCCTACTTACAAAGCATGTAGAGGTCTGTAATTTTTATCATAGGTACACTTCAACTGTGAGAGACGGAATCCAGATTTTCCAAAAATCCAGAAAATCACAATGTATGAGTTTTAAATAATTTATTTGCATTTTATTGCATGACATAAGTATTTGATCACCTATCAACCAGTACGAATTGCAGCTCTCACAGACCTGTTGGTTTTTCTTTAAGAAGCCCTCCTGTTCTCCACTCATTACCTGTATTTACTGCACCTGTTTGAACTCGTTACCTGTATAAAAGACACCTGTCCACACACTCAATCAAACAGACTCCAACCTCTCCACAATGGCCAAGACCAGAGAGCTGTGTAAGGACATCAGGGATACAATTGTAGACCTGCACAAGGCTGGGATGGGCTACAGGACAATAGGCAAGCAGCTTGGTGAGAAGGTAACAACTGTTGGCGCAATTATTAGAAAATGGAAGAAGTTCAAGATGACGGTCAATCATCCTCGGTCTGGGGCTCCATGCAAGATCTCACCTCGTGGGGCATCAATGATCATGACGAAGGTGAAGGATCAGCCCAGAACTACACGGCAGGACCTGGTTAATGACCTGAAGAGAGCTGGGACCACAGTCTCAAAGAAAACCATTAGTAACACACTACGCCGTCATGGATTAAAATCCTGCAGCGCACGCAAGGTCCCCCTGCTCAAGCCAGCACATGTCCAGGCCCGTCTGAAGTTTGCCAATGACCATCTGGATGATCCAGAGGAGGAATGGGAGAAGGTCATGTGGTCTGATGAGACAAAAATAGAGCTTTTTGGTCTAAACTCCACTCACCATGTTTGGAGGAAGAAGAAGGATGAGTACAACCCCAAGAACACCATCCCAACCGTGAAGCATGGAGGTGGAAACATCATTCTTTGGGGATGCTTTTCTGCAAAGGGGACAGGACGACTGCACCGTATTGAGGGGAGGGAGGATGGGGCCATGTATCGCGAGATCTTGGCCAACAACCTCCTTCCCTCAGTAAGAGCATTGAAGATGGGTCGTGGCTGGGTCTTCCAGCATGACAACGACCCGAAACACACAGCCAGGGCAACTAAGGAGTGGCTCCGTAAGAAGCATCTCAAGGTCCTGGAGTGGCCTAGCCAGTCTCCAGACCTGAACCCAATAGAAAATCTTTGGAGGGAGCTGAAAGTCCGTATTGCCCAGCGACAGCCCTGAAACCTGAAGGATCTGGAGAAGGTCTGTATGGAGGAGTGGGCCAAAATCCCTGCTGCAGTGTGTGCAAACCTGGTCCAGACCTGCAGGAAACGTATGATCTCTGTAATTGCAAACAAATGTTTCTGTACCAAATATTAAGTTCTGCTTTTCTGATGTATTTTGCCCATGGCAAAAGTGTCCTCTGGGCATCCCCTGAAACCCACTGCCCTCTAACGGCAGCCCAAACCTTACTATTCCTGTTTTGGGGTGGGTCATTCCTTCTACCGCTCTGGCCACGTCCTCTGTGTTCTTGGCCTGTCTGCTAAATGGCATATTATTATTATTACTGTATACATCTAAGGTTGCTGTGGCCCCTTTCATTCCCCGCCAATAGATTAGGTAAGGCTATCAGTGGGTACTGGCCCCCTCCTACTCTCTCTCTCTCTCTCTCTCTCTCTCTCTCACTGCTTATTTCTCCTTTACACACCTTATGTATCTGTTTAAGCATGGATTCGAGTTTATCTGCGTCTAGATGTCCCTCAAAACCATACCTCTCCCTCCACCTGGTTACATAATGGAGATTTCTTCTATCCCTGGATTCCATTTTAATTACATCAAGTATTTCTCGTCCCCAGTAAATTCTGGGACCGCTTGTGAGGATTTGCCCCCCATGGTTGATACTGTTAAAAATCCCTTAGCCACCTCTTCTATATAACAAGTCAATTTAACAAGTAATTCAAAACAGCTTCACACAACAACACCTTGAATCACCCCTTCCTGTATATGTAATATTGACTAGTCCCCCAGAATTATCTCATACTTTACGGAGGATTACATCCCCACAATGTAATCTTGATAATTCCTGACAGTCTCATACAACAGGAATGGGTTCTCCCTCCTCTATACAACCACCTGGAATTATTCATAGATCTGACTTTTGAGCAAACATTAGGTCTCACACGTATACAACCTTACATGATTATTGGTTAACACCATCGGTAACCCGGAGTTTCTAAGGCTCCAGAACGGAAAGAGTTACAGCAAAATCTACAGTTGTTTGTGACTTTTGACTTTACTAATATTCTATTTCTCACACATGCTATTTTAATTCCTTCTGGTGTAGTTTTTGTATTTGTTTAACCCGGATTATTTGTTGACTGTTCTATAATCTCTTACAGGTTACATCCCATAGGTGTACTTTTAATAGTTCCTTCTATTTCAACACCAGGTAGTTTCTTTTGGTAATGGCCTATTACCGTGAATCGTTACGGACCCACCAACATTTCACTTAAAATGGCTACGCATTGATCAATTTGCTACTTTTCAATATTTTAGCAAGTTCTCAAATCAATTTCACCAAGTAATGAATAAAGACTGCTGACCTTATCCTTGCAGCCGAGATTCAATGTAGGTTTGGATTCCGTCACCGTCTCTGTCATTAATCAGGTGTCCTCTGGCCTGTTTTAACCCTTAATGTCAAAGGGCAGGACTTTCTATTTATGAATGTATCATTCGCCCGTCGACGGTTTTCAGAGTTACCTGGAATGACAGAAACAGGGTATTGGAGTCTGGCTCAGAAGGACCAAGCTGTTACGTGAATTATTTAACAAACTATTTCAGTGTCTCTGTGCGTCTCCCAAAAGGTTGTAAGTCTTTTGTGATTTAAGTAACGGCCAGAGTCCCGGTCTGCATAGTCAGAGATATTTATTCATTGAGAATTCTGCCATCACAATTTCAATGTCCATATTTTATACTCATACGTCATACAAAAGAAATCCCTCCCCTCTGTAGGCGGGCTGTAGTTTTCCACTCTAAAACTGCTCTACTGACCATCAGTTCACACACACACACATATACACACATGCATACACACATACACACACACACACACACACACACACACACACACACACACACACACACACACACACACACATATCATACTCCCTGCATTACTCAGTTATTGCCGTTCTCACAATATTCTGCACCATGTTTTCATAACAGTTTCTCCCCTCCCTAAATTGGGAGGCCTCTTTATCTTAGTTTCTCACTTGTCTTTGTTGTCTGGCCTAACTCTTACTCACATTGCTAAATAGTGGCTCAATTCCATAGCCTTTACTGGTCCTACACTCACACATTTCTAACACATTATACACAGTTTCAGGGTGTAATAATTAGTCATTAATAATTAATCTATCAGAGTTACAGGCTTTTATGGCCAAGACTGGTCAAAGTGTGCATGTGACAACAATATCCCAAGAACTCCAGCAATCTGGCATGTATTGTAAGGTGGCAAGAAGGAAGCCATTACTCAAGAAAGTCCACCTTGAATCCCGTTTGAAGTGTGCAAGAAATCACTCAAGAGATTCTGTAGTCATGTGGAAAAAAGTTTTGTGGTCTGACAAAACTAAAATTGAACTTTTGGGCCTAAATGCAAACCCAACACGGCACATCACACAAAGAACACCATCCCTACTGTGA